GACGTTGTCCGACAAATCTGGCTCGCTGCCTGACTTTAGGTTCAGTGCTCGGTTGACATCCTTCCCTCCGCGGGAATCTGGCATGGAGGGGTCGGGAATTCGGACATAACTTGTCCTTAATGTAGGAGAAGAGTCGCCGTGCTGTTCTTCCACCACAGCAACATGGTGGGAAGCCTGGGGAGAGTTGATCTCTCTCAGATCGGTTTTAAGCCCAATCTGATCATAGTCTGTAGCGACTCCTAGGGCGGCGATGCGATCCAAGAGCTCGTTTAAGGAGGAGAGCTCCATCGGATCTAGCTGCTCGGCAAATTCCGAGTTGACGTGAAGATCGCTTTTGATAACCCGAGAGGTCATCGTCGGTGAGGCGGCCGAATAGGCGGTCATAAGAAAACCGCCTAGCCGGATAGTTTGGCCGATGGCCAAAGCTCTTTTGGCAATGGTGCCGTCTTTAAAGACGGGACGAGGCATCCTTCCTCATTGCGACGGCAGAGAGGAACTCTCAATGAAAGCACCAATGTCGGTGTCAAAACCGGCGGATCTCGGGTAGGGGGTCCCGAACTGTGCGTCTAGGCGGATGGTAACAAGAGACAAGGGACACGATGTTTTTACCCAGGTTCGGGCCCTCTCGATGGAGGTAAAACCCTACTCCTGCTTGATTAATATTGATGATATGGGTAGTACAAGAGTAGATCTACCACGAGATCAAGGAGGCTAAACCCTAGAAGCTAGCCTATGGTATGATTGTTGTTCGTCCTACGGACTAAAACCCTCCGGTTTATATAGACACCGGAGAGGGCTAGGGTTACACAGATTCGGTTACAATGGTAGGAGATCTACATATCCGTATTGCCAAGCTTGCCTTCCATGCCAAGGAAAGTCCCCTCCGGACACGGAATGAAGTCTTCAATCTTGTATCTTCATAGTCTTGGAGTCCGGCCAATGATGATAGTTCGGCTATCCGGACACCCCCTAGTCCAGGACTCCCTCAGAGATCAACGTGAGTAGCAAAAGATTCACAGAAAGAAGCTACTATCTCAGAGTCAAGTCCATACTTAGCACTAAATCCACGGAAAGCATCGGTATCCATAAAAGATTTAACACAATCGAACTTGGGTGTCATACCTGACTCCTTACCATCATCGGAACCCCAATCTTTAGAGTTGCGTTTAATTCTTTCCAATAAGTCCCATTTGAAATCAATAGTCTTCAGCATATAAGAACCAGCACAGGAAGTATCGAGTAGGTTGCGATTATCAAGAGAAAGCCGAGCATAAAAGTTCTGAATAATCATTTCCCGAGAGAGCTCATGATTGGGGCATGAATATAACATTGACTTAAGCCTCCTCCAAGCTGGAGCGATGCTTTCTCCTTCGCGAGGCCAGAAATTATATATGTAATTACGATCACGATGAACAAGATGCATAGGATAGAACTTCTGGTGAAATTCCAACTTCAATCGCTTATAATTCCAAGATCCTGTATCATCACATAGCCTATACCATGTCAATGCATCTCCCTTCAAAGATAAAGGGAAGACCTTCCTTTTGACAACATCATCGGGAATACCTGCAAGCTTAAATAATCCACAAACTTCATCCACAAAGATAAGGTGTAAATTGGGATGCAATGTTCCATCTCCTGCAAATGGATTAGCTAGCAGTTTTTCTATCATACCCGAAGGAATCTCAAATTAAATATTTTCATAAAGTTCAGTCGGTTGAGGAGAAACTCTTTGCTCTTCTGGTTGGGGTGAAGATACCCCACACAAGCCTCTCAAAGGATTAGTTTCCATAGTGACAAGTAACAGAAAATTTCAGCACACTATATAAATGTTTCCTTACCAAGTTCCACTCACCAAAAGCGCTACACTCCCCGGCAATGGCGCCAGAAAAGAGTCTTGATGACCCACAAGTGTAGGGGATCAATCATAGTCCTTTCTATAAGTAAGAGTGTCGAACCCAACGAGGAGCAGAAGGAAATGATAAGCGGTTTTTAGTAAGGTTTTCTCTGCAAGCACTAAAATTGTAGGTGATAGATAGTTTTGTGATAAGATAAATGGTAACGAGTAACAAGTAAATAAAGTAAACAAAGTGCAGCAAGGTGGCCCAATCCTTTATGTAGCAAAGGATAAGCATGGACAATTTCTAATAATGAGAAAGGAGCTCCCGAGGACACATGGGAATTATCGTCAAGCTAGTTTTCATCACGTTCATATGATTCGCGTTCGGTACTTTGATAATTTGATATGTGGGTGGACCGGTACTTGGGTACTGCCCTTACTTGGACAAGCATCCCACTTATGATTAACCCCTATTGCAAGCGTCCGCAACTACAAAAGAAGTATTAAGGTAAACCTAACCACAACATTAAACATATGGATCCATATCAGCCCTAACGAAGCAACGCATAAAATAGGGTTTAAGCTTCTGTCACTCTTGCAACCCATCATCTACTTATTACTTCCCAATGCCTTCCTCTAGGCCCAAATAATGGTGAAGTGTCATGTAGTCGACGTTCACATAACACCACTAGAGGAAAAGACAACATACATCTCATCAAAATATCGAACGAATACCAAATTCACATGACTACTAATAGCAAGACTTCACCCATGTCCTCAGGAACAAACATAACTACTCACAAAGCATATTCATGTTCACAATCAGAGGAGTAATAATATGCATAAAGGATCTGAACATATGATCTTCCACCAAGTAAACCAATTAGCATCAACTACAAGGAGTAATCAACACTACTAGCAACCCACATGTACCAACTTGTGGTTTTGATACAAGATTGGATACAAGAGATGAACTAGGGTTTTGAGAGGAGATGGTGCTGGTGAAGATGTTGATGGAGATTGACCCCCTCTCGATGAGAGGATCGTTGGTGATGATGTTGGTGATGATTGCCCCCTCCCGGAGGGAAGTGTCCCCGGCAGAACAGCTCTGCCAGAGCCTAGATTGGTTCCGCCTCGTGGCGGTGGAGTTTCGTCCCGTAAGCTTGCCCATGATTTTTTCTAGGGTAAAATCTCTGATATAGCAAAAGATGGACACCGGAGGCCCACCAGGGGGCCCAGGAGATAGGAGGCGCGCCCCGTAGGGGGGGCGCCCTCCACTCTCCTGGACAGGGTGTGGGCCCCCCGGTGTATTTCTTTCGCTAAAAAATTCTTATTAATTCCAAAAGGATGTTTCATGGAGTTTGAGGACTTTTGGAGCTGTGTAGAATATGTTTCCAATGTTTGCTCCTTTTCCAACCAGAATTTCAGCTGCCGGCATTACCCCTCTTCATGGTAAACCTTGTAAAATAAGAGAGAATAGCCATAAGTATTGAGATATAATGTGTAATAACATTCCATAATGCAATAAATATTGATATAAAAGCATGATGCAAAATGGACGTATCAGGCGCCGCCTGGCGCCCGCCTGGTCTCGATCGTCATGGCTCAACCTGGCAGTCGGGTCGGGTTTGGTCGGGTCGACCACTCCCGGACCCATGCCCGAATCCCTTATCGGGTCCGTCGCCCGCCCACGACCCTGCCCATGGGTCAAAGTTCAGACCCATGCCCGAACCCATCGGGTAACCCGACCCACTCGGGTACCCATCGGGTCCAAGTTATTATTAAATTGAATTAATTTCACACTTTCTCAGTGTGTTCAAATATACTAATTTCGTTCCTTTCCAACAGGAAGGCGCAAAAAATATTTGTTTTAAAAGTCACCAGACTAGAACGCACAAGCAAGCTCTACACCGAGGTGGTTCTTATATAGGCGTCCATCCTTTCTCACCGCGCTTCCACTTTCGAGGTGGTACTAATACCCAAGACATTACCTTCGCTGCTACTAGCATTGTAGCACTAGCAGGCTAGCGATAGCCAGTAGCCTGCCGATTACGTGACGATGGGCCGGACGCTTCTCTTGTGTTTTCCTGGCCCAATAGCTGCATTGTTGGACTGCCAAGAGAAAAACTACTACGTTCAAGTACTACTACTTGTCTACCGCTAAAACAAAGTACTCCTACTTGTCTGATGCATGTGTTTGCGGTTCTATATAGCTAGAATATGCACCATATCTTGATTATATCTATTGGAATTTATGATTATGAATATTTATCGGGCAGCCCATCGGGTTACCCATGGGCATAGATGAAGACTCATACCCTACCCATGACTAATCGGGTTGCCCATGGATTTTACCCATGGGCGAAGATGAAGACTCATACCCTACCCATTCGGGTCGGGTGCCCATGGGCGGCCATACCCATGGGTCAAATTGCCGGGTTGACGCTAGGCTCGAGTTTACGTGCAATATGTAAGCTATGACCTATTAGAAGTGAAAGAGTCGACTTTTACACATGTTCCTTCTTTTTTTTTCTTTGATGTTTTTCTTTCTTGCTTTTCTACGTATTTTTTTTCTTTTGTTTCTTTTTTTCATTTTTTTATTTTGTTCCATCATTTTTTCTTTTATTTTTTCTTCTCCATTTGTTGTTTGGTTTCTTTTTTCTTCTCCATTATTTTTCATTCTATACATTCTTATACACATGATCAACATTTTTTTCAAATACTTGTTCAACACTTTTCAAGATGGGCCGGCCCATCTGGGCTCCTCTCGACGCGAGAAGTGGAGCTCGAGCACCCCACATTGGGGATTGGGCCGCCACAGCGTGCGCTTGCCTGGCTCCCGGCCCGGCTCCCCACCGCCCCCCACCCCACACCCACCATCTCTCACGCCGCCGTGAGCGTCACCGCCACCGCCTTCGGGGCCTCCTCTATCGCCGCTGCCGCTGCCAAGGTAAGCCGCAAGGCGGGCTCTTTTGTTATGCCGGCTTTCTTAGGTCTCCTTTCTCTTTCTTTTTATCCGCCCACCCTAGTAGACGGGGGAATCAGGCGACCTCCGGTGCTGCGCCTGCGCGTGTATCTGATCGCCGCGAAATTAGGGTTTCTCGACCTAGCGTGGCTGCTAAATTAAATTTCTTTTTGGTGGTGCGGGACTGAGACTCGGATGCTGTCGCAGCTCACTGGACCGTTCGTAATCATGTCCCCGTTCTCAACTGCTAGCAGCGGTCTGTTCCTTCGGTGCTCTCGAGTGAAAGCTGGGAACAGCGCCGAGATCTGTGGCACCGAGAAGCTTATTACACTCGGAAATTTGCGCCCTGTGTTGCCGGTTTGATGGTGTTTGTTCATGACGATAATGTTAATATAGGTTTAAGCCTTATTGTGGTACTAGTATTTGCTGATTTTGTTTGTGTGATAAAGTTGCATGCCTGTGTGTAAACGTTGTTACGGAATCATGATATGGTAGCTTTGATCTCTTTGAATGTTAGTTAGTTTGGCATGGCAAAACCTTACCTGATGATGCATTCATTTGGCCTAGATTGGTAATTTGGCTGTTCAATCTTAAAATAATTTTCACAATTTGTTACCAACGTTGTTGCTTTTGTATCTTGCACATTCAGGTTAGAATGAGGCGACAGGGACAGGGACAGGGGCAATACGGGGATCCTAACATCAATTCCATGGCCTCTTCCCAGTTGCATCACTACCAGGCTCAGCAAAGGGTTCAACAACTCCCTGATAATAGTTACCCTGGAAGAGATCCTGGGCAAGCTGCTGGGGAGAACCAGTATACCACCCAGAAGGTGAGACAGAGCCAATGGGACAGAGGTGGACCGAATATCCCGAATCAGATTTCACCATATGCATATAACGAGGGTATGTAGTATGTACTACCACTAGTTAGTTTCATGTCTGCTGTATGCGTGTGTGTGCCCACGCACCTGTTTCATTTTGGAATAACTTGCTTCATCTGTTGAAAAGTCCAAGATGTCAACCTTTTTGGTGGTATAACTAGTTTACATATGCTCCCTACACTTTGGACAGATTAGCATTTTTTCCGAGAAACTTTGGACATATTAGTGGTTGTGTAGCTAGCATGGTAAACTGGTAGTATGTGTGAGAATATGCTAGAAAATGTTATGTTTTGCATCTTGGTTACACTTCTGTGCTTCTGAACTGACCGATCCTGATTTAGGTCAAAGTGCTGAGGGTAAACGATCCTTCTATGATGGACAACAATCTGATATGAAGGTTGGTCTAGAAAAGCAACCAAGAAAGGAATCGAGGGACCAGCCTCGTACCGATAAGATTGAAGCAAGGCACGATGAGTATAATCTTCCTCGTACATTTGAAAGTCTAGAGCAGAGTTTTCGTGAAGACATCGTGGTCCTATCCAAGGAACTAAATGATGCAGAGGATGCTGAAAATACTAGGCACAGGGAGGTATGTTCAAATAGTATTGCATGATTCTGGCTTGTCTTTCCTACATGTAGATTAACTGGACTTGCATATCGTTTTTTACCTTCCTGATATCAGTCATTGATATGTCCTACTATTGACAGGAAGTACTTATCCATTTCATGAGAGGATTTAATATCATATGCCTTTTGCTTATTGAGTTTCTGTTTGGTCCTGTTAGCCAATCGTGGTATGATTAGCCTTTTGAGTAACAATCGCACAGGTAGATGTTGGGAAACAGATAGAAACTATAGATGTCTTCTCCCCTTGTTCTCAGTTATGTGCATAGACTTGTCAGTTTGTATGTACATTCTCATTTTGCATGCCAATACCAGTACACATCCACATTAATCCATATTAGTCATCTGACATGGACAACCCTCATCTTGCAATGTAATTGCAGAGAACATGCAAGCTCTAGAAACCAATATAAGATTTAATACCAAGAAAAACTTAGTAATAATTAGATATTGAAATGGGGATCTCCCCCCTTGCGCATCTATAGCTTATTCATGTTTCCATTGGTTTACTCTATTAGGGCATCTCCAATGCTGTGCCCTTATATGCCCGCAAACGTCCGGACCAATGCATCCGGACGTTTTTTGCCATCCAACGTTGTGCCGCAAACGTACCTGGGCGAGTCCGCACGCCCGAATTCCCGCAAACCGGCACCAAACCTGGGGGAGGGTTGCGGGCGTCCGGACTCGTGCCACGCACGCGTCGGACAAGCGGTCCCACCAAACCGTCTCCCGCGCGATTGAAACTTCGCCCGCGCATTGATGTTGGTCAGCCGCTCCAGAGCGGATGCAACTCGACGACATTGATGCCAGTCAGCTACAGAGCAGAGGTGACTCGATGGCCTTGATTCTGGTCAGAGTGACGTGACCAGACGGGAGAGTGGCGCTGGTTCAATGCGGACGTGGCCTGAGAAGCCTAGTCCGGCCACTGGACGACATTGAAGCGGTGTCACTCCGCCTGCCCGGCCTATTTAAGCAGTGTTTCGGTGCCCTCGTCACCGCAAACCCTCTCCGCTCCTCTCCGCTCCTCTCTGCAAACCCTCTCCACTCCTCTCCGCTTCTCCATGGCAGCGGCGATGGAGCGGATGGTGACGGCGGCCTAGCCGGTTAGGGCGGCCATGCGTACGAGGTCACCGTCCGGTACCTCATGTAGTTTAGTTTAGGTTTTTAAAATTTTAGTTGTACAGACAAAATATCGTCCGGTTTATGTAAATTATATCCAACTTTTATCCGGTTTGGAAGAAGTTCGTTCGGTTTCCATGAAATTCGTCCGTTTGATTCAAGTTTGTTATTAAATGCGTGTGGACGTTTAGGGCACACGGTTGGATGGCCGCCTCCCGTATGCGTGTCTCCATCTGCGGACGGATAGTGCGGCTGATTTGGGCGACGGCGTGGAGATGCCCATAGTGTGCCTAGATTTATCATAGTGCACGCCCCGCAACTTATGGTGGATCCTCTTATATGCCTTTCCTATGGCAACTTTTAAATCATCTTTTATATGCCTTCCCTATGGCAACTTTTAAACATCTAAACAATGGAACTTGTTGCAGTAATCTTGCCTCAACTACAATCATACTTGTCAATCTTGCCCCAATTACACCATGCCAAAGTTAGATTGGACATCATGTTGTGGATAATGCTGCAGCACTCTGTCGCTGGTGCATAGAGTTGATTTCATTAGAACTAGCAGCATACACTGTTATTAATATCAGACAACCGCCGTTTTACATGTTTCTCATGTCTGTGTGCAGAGATTGAACGAAATAAATGCACAGTACCATGAGAAACTATTGGCACTTCGAGCTCGCCAGACGGCCTATCGAGAAGAATTCCTGCGCAAAGAGTCTCTGGAACGCCAGCAGCAATACCAAAAGGCCACCATAAGCAATTATGCAAATAATGTGGTGCCTAGGGAACCACGTGGCTATCCTCCAACAGCTGCAGCCACGCCTCCTGCTGCTGCTCCCTCTGGAGGTTCTTATGGAGAGGCTCATCGGGGTTATGCATCTGGTCAGTATGAAACCTTTGGGGAGCGGCCAGATTACCCAGAGTTCCATGGTGGGGGCCAAGGCCGCGATCATGGTTTTGAGCACCGTGGTCATCAATACCCTGGCGGTCGTGCTTATAACTCTGGCGGGCGCAGATTCTAAAGATGGCTTGATTGAACAGTCAGCCATTTTGGCCTCACTTCACCTGGTCTTATCCTCCGTGGAAAGCTTACAGTAAATTTCTTTAGAAGCTTAGTTCCAGCCTCCTTTGAATGTAAACACCTGTAAAACCTGTTTTGCGATTATGTACTATTTTCTCCAGGGCTGATCATTTTCTTCAGTAGATCGCCTAAAATTCTCCAATTCTCAACTCTTGCGCATGTAGCTGTTTGTGCTTTGCAACCTCACCAGTGTAGAGGAAAAAGGGAGCACTGTGTGGGTGTTGTTTGGCTAGGCTTTGGGTTTCTATGCTTATATCATATGGCTTATCTGCTGTCAACTCATGTCTTGCAATGAAATATTATCGTCAAAGCAATGTGAACATTCCTTTTTTTTATAAAGGACGCCTTTTATTCACACATACTGATCTTTGTTTCTGGTTCTGGTATTTTTTATGGTTTCGAATGATAGAAACTGGGGGTGCATCTACTCCCTCCGTCCGCGAATAAGTGTACTTCTACCATTTTTACTAAGTCAAAATTTTATAATTTTGACCAACTTGTTAGAAAAGAGTAGTAGGTTTATATGACATCAAATTGGTATATTATGAAAATACATTTCAAAACGAATCTAGTGATACTAATTTTGTGTCATAAATGGTGCTACTTTTACCTATAAAGTTGGTCAAAGTTTCAAAACTTTGAGTTAGAACAAAAGCTAGATGTACACTTATTCGCGGACGGAGGGAGTACACACTAAGGCGACAAACTAACAACTTAATTTCTTCCATTTCTCGTGCAGAGTAAGAGTTTCTCTGACATGGCTCTCGGCATTAGCAAGCACTGACTGAGAATGCTTCAAGACCAAGACACAAAACTGTTTCCCAACTTGTTTTACAAAGCCGATGTACTGCAAATATATAAAGCAGGCGTCAGGCTGACAGCAAAGTAACAGGCTACCAGCTAGCTGTACACATGGCGATATATATTCTACATTCTCTTGACAGATTCAAAGGCTAGTCTTCGCCTCAAGTCCGGCAGCTCTTCACTGTCTCTACTCCCTGAAGTGTTGCTTACAAGGAGTAGGTGATGCTCCAGAGAGGTTAAGGAGGACACATGGAACCAGCAACCCTCCCCTACTTGTATGTTTTCTTCACCGCCGGAAGCTTTTCCAGCGCGGTCACGACCTGATCCATGTCCGGCCTGCACCGGACGTCCATCGACAGGCATTGCATTGCAAGCGCTGCCGCCTTCTGCGCCGCGGGGAGCGAATATTGCGACCCCAATCGTGGGTCCAGGACATGGATGACCCTCCTCTTGCTGTTGATGTAAGGTCTTGCCCACTCCACCAGGTTATGCTGTCCAGGCGGGCGGTTCTTGTCCAGAGCACGTTGCCCGGTCAGCAACTCTAGAAGAACAACACCATAGGTGTAGACATCGCTCTTCGTGGTCAAGTGGCCTGCATATAATATGGAGGAAAATCATGTAAGTTTTTGCCAGTCAGATGCATGCAAACCATCATTGACTTTAACCATTACAACATGTGCACAAATTAGAGTAAAGAACAACATGAGGCAATTTAATTATAGCGATCAGAAGAATTTGTGTGCTTACATGAGTGCATCGAAGATGTAACTATTAACTAGCCAAAATCAGTACACATGCAAATCATCATTGAGAACTATTAACTAGCCATAATCAGTCATACAAATCGTCATTGACTTTTTACCACTACAGCATGTGCATATCGGATTAGAGAACAAGATGGGGCAATTTATAGTGATCAGAGGAATTTGTGTGCTAACTTGAATGTGGAACCAAGATGTAGTGTTAAGTGTTTAACTAAGATGAGGCAATTTAATTATAGGAACAAGAAATAATTTGTGTGCTGAGATTAGTGCATTGAAGATGTAACTGTTAAGACTGGTCATAGTGGGGAGTAACATAGACTAGTAACATATGCATGTTACTAGTCTATGTTACTACCTTTATAATGGGTAGTAACATATGGATGATAACATGCAAACCTTCATTAATTAAGCTATAGACTTATTTTACCTCAGGGTGTGTTATGTTACAGTAATATATTATGTTACTCCACAAGCATCTCTCTCCTCATTAACTCCATGCCACATAAGCAAAATTATCTTGAAATGTGTTATGTTACTACCTAAGTTACTCCCACTATGACTAGCCTAACTACCCAAGATGAGTCATACACATGCAAAACATCATTGATACTACCTCTGTCCCAAATCATGATTGATAACTATTTTAGCGACAAGTAATTTCGGACGGAGGGAGTATTAACTAGCCAGTCAGTTGTACGTGAGTAAATCATCATCGACTTTTTACCATCACAGCATGTGCATATTGGATTATAGAACAAGATGGGGCAAATTTATAGTGATCAGAGGAATTTGTGTGCTAACTTGAACGTGGAACCAAGACGTAGTGTTAAGTGTTTAACTAACCAGCTGAGTATCTAGTCATCCTTCTTCCACTAACCAAAGGTCTGGAAAGCATAAAGTACCTGTTCAAGTTTTCAACTAGCAAGTGGTTTGCCTTTTACAGGGTGTCATACATCACCCCCCAACAAATCTTTTAAGATTTTAAAAAATTGGTAATCATAGGCATCACATGACTGAAACAACAATCGTCAATCTAAAATGGATTGTTCAGACATGCTCTGCTTCGTGGCTCTTGCCTGGTGAGTCACTTTGCTGCTAAATGATTATTTTATGCACCCTCACTACTGTAGGAGAATCACACCCCTTTAAATAAAAGGCACATCCAAGCACAACGAAGAACCATGCCATATAAAACCAAGTGAATCCGACAGATACGCTAGTGTTAGTTGCTTATGTCTCTAAAAAGGATATGGCATGCACGCCATGAAGCATCAATGTCTTTGCTATGAAGATTATTTTCGTTCAATCCTGTTAGCAGTGCATTGCATCAAATAGAAACTACGGAAACTGCGACTTGCCAGCAATGATGTCTTGAACATTGAACCACAGCCATCTTAAGAAGATAATTCCAGAAAAGAATAGAACTTCATTTGCCCTTTTCAAGCAGTGTCAATGAATGCCCCCTTTCATCCATGACTCTAAGATGCATGAAAATAGTAGAGGGACAATATGGTCGTAACAGATAGCTGGTAAGGCATGTTAGAAAGATTACCTGTTGCAAGATATTCAGGGGCAGCATATCCTTGAGTCCCCATGACCCTAGTAGAAACATGACTTTTATCGCCACTTGGGCCATCTTTTGCCAAGCCAAAATCAGAGAGTTTCGCATTATATTCCTGTATGCAGTCAAAGAAGGACAAGAAAGACAAATCTTAAGACCAGAGATCATTGTACTTTCACTTAGTGTATAGATAAGAGACTGAATTTGCATATGCCCACCGAGTCAAGAAGAACATTGGAGGTCTTGAAATCACGGTATATAACTTTAGCTTCATCGCTATGCAGGAAAGCAAGTCCCCTGGCAGCCTCAAGAGCAACCTTCATCCGTAAATTCCATGAGAGGGGCTGGAAATGTGGAGCTCCTGCAGTACCATTGCACCGTCACTAAACCTTTTCCAACAGTACGAATGGAACATTTCGTGCACAATGAGCATATCACACAAGATAATATTTGAGAAACTCACTCCTGAAAAGATGGTGCTCCAAGCTACCCTTGGGCATGAATTCGTAGACGAGAAGCCGCTGCTCGTCCTCCAAGCAATAGCCGATGAGCTTCACAAGATTGGGGTGTGATAGCTGCCCCAGGTAATTGACCTCAGCCTGCAAGGTATTTTTTTGCAGAAACAAATTAAAACCACAAAACCTTCAGCTCAAACAGGCACAACGGAAGTGCAACAAGGTCAGTGACCAACCAGCCATTCTTTGTGCCCCTGGAAACTGTCCAGCTTGAGCTTCTTCACCGCGACGATCATCCCGGCGCCGGGCTTGACGGGCGTGAACGTGCGCTCATCGATCCACCCCTTGAACACGGAGCCGAAGCCCCCCTCCCCGAGCAGGCTGTCGGTCCGGAAGTTCCTTGTGGAACTTCTCAGCTCACTGAAGGTGAACTTGCGGAGGTTGGACGACTGCAAGATCTCCTTCTCGGTCCGAGGAGTCGGTGGCACCGACGACGAAGAACTCTTGCCAAAAGTGCTGGTATCAGTCGCATTGCTGCTGTTGCTGCTCTTGGAATTGTTACCTGGATTGCAAAGCAAGCAGATGCGGTTACTTCGCTGATAAAACTCACGCTAACTTGAAGATATCAATCCCACTGCCATTCTGGGAGCAAAATTCGCCCTACTTGTTTTGTTTGGGCAAAAACCATATGCGCCTCACACTTGGTAAAATCGTGCAATTTTGCCCACTACTGGCCTTGGCCATCTATGAAGCCCAAAGCGGAAAACTAAACCGTGCAAAATCAACCCGCCCAAGTTGGACTCTTGTTCCAAACAGTGCAGCAGAAGAAAAATCAAGAAACGCTCATTCCTACTCCGAATAATTGACAGGGCCAAGAAGCCACATGAAGTTGAGAAGCAGAGCACACGAAGTTATCTAGCTCAGACCGGAACGGCGCCTCGAAAGCTGATGCAACCAACCAAGAGGCGAGGCGAGGCGAGGCGTAGTGGAGTGGAGTACCTGAGGTGTTGGGAGCACTGAAGGTCGGGTTGATCTCGGCGTTCCCCTGCACGCCGGCGCAGTTCCCCATCAGGAGCGGCAACGGTACCGGCCAGTCCAACCGGAGCCACAAGGCTGGCTGGGTCTGCGTTCGTTCGTTGTAGCTAGTGGCTAGGACTGGGGTTGGCTGTGGCTTGGCTGGCTGCTTTGGGTAGCGGTGTCATTCTTTCCCTTCTTCTCTGCCTGCCTGCGTGCCTGCTAGGTTGGAGGATCTATCATTGCTGCCTCCGGGCGAGGGTGGTGGGAGCAGCCGTGGCGTGGGGCCAGGACAGGCCAGGCGAGTCGCCTCATTAATGAACGACAAGGCTTTTCTCCTCCTCTCCGCCTGCGCACATGTGATTCATTTGGTTCCTTGCAAAATTTAGACCGGACTAAACTTCCATGTCACAGAGAAGGAGAATGATACTTAAGTTCGTTCGACCTCGTAGTCCACTACCCATAGTGATTGCACCGGTGTGTGGCCTATTCAGCACAGCATTTTTGAACTTGTACGTGCACATCATGCCTGATACCGTATCGTTATCGCTGGCCTGCTTTGGGGATTATGTTGACGTTTTCCGTTTAACATTTCAACGGGACGTGACTATCAGTCCAAGCAAATGGGGCCCTACGTTTTTTTTCCTTTCGTGTTTTGTAATGTAGTACTTTCTCCGTTCCCAAATATTTGTCTTTCTAGGCATTTTTAAATGGACACAACATACGGATGTATGTACACTTATTTTAGAGTGTAAATTCACTCATTTTGCTTTGTATGTAGTCACTTGTTGAAATCTCTAGAAAAACAAATATTTGGGAATGGAGGGAGTATAAACTAAAGCACGCGATAGAGATTGCATGGCCGACCTGCCTTCCGCTCTGCAACAGGCTAAGGTGCATAACTGCATGTCAACATCAACGGGACGGGGCGGTGGCTGGCAGCGGTTCTTCTCCTGTCGATCCCATAAATTTGCAGCGGCTCTGAGTACGTTTATACCCCATGTCTGCGTACGTTCTATGCTTAGTACTCAAAGCCGAAAGTACCTACAAACTCTTCTTTTCCTGATGAGGCAAATCTTTTGTCTGTATTTTTTTAAAGCCGAATGTACGAAAAATAAGATTTTAGTAGTTATTTCATTGGGCTCATCTGAGTACTACTCCCTCCATTCCCAAATAATTGTCTTTCTAGCCATCTTAAATAGACTACAACATACTGATATATGTAGACATGTTTTAGAGTATAGATTCACTCATTTTGCTCCGTATGTAGTCATTTGTTGAAATCTCTAGAAAGACAATTATTTAGGAACGGAGGAAGTACTAGCTACTAGTCGTCATAACGAAAAGCACGTGGAGATGCACTGAATCATACGCAACTGCGAACTGGAGTGCAGCTCGATCAGCGGCTAAGTGAGAATTTCCGGGCTATAAGCACCGTCTACTGTTAGTTTTAATCAGTAGCAAACCTGGAAACAGAAGAATTGGTTGGGAATTTAGCGCGTCCAGCCTAGCTCGCACTACAGCCCACAGGATTGACTCCCTTGAGCTTTGCTGGCTATTTTATGGCGAATGAAACGTGTCTATCTCTGTACTCTGTGCTTTTTCTTAGAGAAATATACGTACCCTGTACGTTGTGTATGTGTCAGCTGCTAGCTTGAGCTACGCACGCGATTATATTGCCAGAGATTTCCTTCTTGATTCCAGCTCGGAACGACAGGCTAGTGGCTCCTCATTTGAAGACGGACATGGTTTGCTTGGCTATGACATACACGGAAAAACGTTGAATGTTTCTGCCCCAAAGGGTTGCTATAAACGCATCTTGTGTTGTTGAAGTCAAGAAAAGTATTTCTCCCGACAACGGCGGTTGCTGTTATGTGGCGCTGGTTCTATGGGGATTAGCACGAAGACTTTTCAACTACAGTAAGTTTTGCCCGGCTCCGGCGATGAAGGGGCGATGACGACGGCGCATCTTCGACTCGCTTCAATGCTTTTCGTCGTCGCTAGGTGGTCCACGGATTTGGATGTAATTTTTATTATTTCTGATGCTCGTTGCACTGTCCTGTTTGAAGACCAATACATTGAATGTTTTCTCGCAATAAAAGAAAGTATTTCTCCAAAGGCTTTCTGACGGAGCAAAATGTTCCTACACAAGATTCAGACAGCGAGAACTAGGGAGCGCAGTGGCGTCTCCAGCAACCAGGGTTCGAGCCACGCCGGGGACGAATTTATGGTTTCTCACAAGGGATGCTCCTCCTATATCAATAAACCGTGGGTGCTAGTGCCCATGAGTTTCATCTTTTTAAGATTCAGACAGCGAAGAAAATCTAGTGCAGTAACTCCAGTAGTCATGCCCGAAAGCGAAAGATTTCAATAACGGCCGTAACTTGGCAGGTGTAAGACTCGTCGAGCCACAAATGCAGCGCCACTTGCCACGGCAACAGATCAGCTATCGACACGCTCGCAGCATTAGATCGGCCGACGGCCATCGACCGAGCGTGACTTAACTACGGTGCCCCACCTTGGCGTGCGTATCGCACGGGTAACGACGACCACCAGACGGGTAGAGGGAGCGTGCGGGCCGCTGCTTTGCTGCCTCCGGCCGGCAGGTACCACGGCCGCGGTGTCCGGTGAGTTTGTCTGTGTCATCGTCACGGCGTGCGTGCGCATGCATCTGGCTCTTGTCTCTGCTCCGGGCAACTGGCCGGGTCAAGCTGGGCCTAGGATGCTACTGTTGCTTTCAGGCACGAGGTCGGACACGCCATGTGTAACACTCATCAACTAGATACACTCAGATCCCCCTCAAAAGAGAGAGAGAGAGAGAGAGAGAAACCCGAGATACACTCAGATTCACAAAATCAACCCCAGCGCCACGCTGAAAGGATAGAATTCCTGCGGAATTTGTGTTCACAGGAGAGGAGGAAGAGAGGTACGAGCGTAGCTCTAGGGTTTAGATAAACAAAGTTCGCGCGAGAGCTATGGTCTCGCTTATCTTCTTTTTCTTTGCGCATCAACGATGGGCTTACGCTTGCCTGAACCTTTATATTACCAAGAGAGCCAATTCCAGAGAGACCAGAAGCACATGGGGGAGAGTAGCAGGTGCAAAAGACTAGAAGAAATACAGAGAAAAAGCTGGGAAATAAGGCTATAATCTCCTAGCTAAATGGGACAACATTGAGCTCCAATCCCGGAGCAGGTTTTGCTTTCTGAACATTGTTGCAGCGGTGAGAGAAAGGATCAAACCATCTGCCGTTGACCGAGCAATATGGTGCAAACTTAGTGTCATTGCCAAAGACTTCCGCATTTCGCGTTTTTAGATGTTCCACATCAGCGCAATAATCATGGTAGACTCACTATAAAGAAACAGATTATCAAGTATCTAAGGCACTGTCTATAGAGAAGCCCTGATATGGAAGATAGAAGACCTGCAATGGTGACATGGAGCATTGTCTACAGGCCAAAAGATCAGGGGGGATTGGGTATTATGGACATTTATACCCTAAACAAAGCACCGCTCATGAAAAACCTTCACAAGTTCTACAACAAACATGATATCCCATGGGTAAATCTAATTTGGGAAACCTATTATGGAAATGGACAGCTGCCAGGTGATCAGGAGGTGGGATCTTTGTAACTCCCCGGATACAACTTTCCATATTCGTAACTCCAACTCTTGCCTTTTTCGGAGATGCGATATGATATTTCTTTCGTGGTTGGGTTTTTGTCTGTTGTTTTGCATTTTGTTCTTATTATGCATCTCATCTCATAACATCATGCGCATTGCATCGGCATCGTTTTTATAAAACTTGCATCCGTTCGGGTTTCCCCGGTCCTCTCCGTTGTCCGTTCGGAGTCCAGACACACTCGCACGCGCCCGCGGCACCTCCGAAATATTATTTTATAAGTGGCATAAAAATATTCTTGGAATGGGTTGCAACTTTTCATGCGGTCTTATTATAGTGTAGACAGGCCGCCTGTCAAGTTTCGTCGCATTCGGAGTCCGTTTGACTGCCCAACCGTTAAATATGTAACCGCGATATAGTCGGTATATTCGTCGGACGTTTGGTCTCTGAAACTGCCGCCGGGCTGCAACTTCTCTTCTCTCCTCTCAGCCCAACTCCTCTTCACAGACCACCGCAGCCCACCTAGTTCCCCCTCTGTCCGGAGCCGCTCGATCGCGATCCGAGGGTCCCGAAACCCCTCCTAACCCCCAAACCCTAGCAAATTTGCTATATATGGACACCCCCTTCCAAATTTGGCAGCCTACCCCCTTCCCTAACCCAGCCGCAGCAATCCCCCCTCCTCCTCGGGATCTCCGCCGCCTCCCACCTCAATTTCCGCGCCACCCGCTCC